TCTCAGATTGGAAGGGTTCCTTTTCCCAACTGGTGTTCTGAGATCTCTTCACAGGAGCTCTATGGGACTGAAATCTGGACTCATTGCTGGCCAGTTCAGTCTTTTCCAGCGCTTTGTCTGAAGCCATTCTAGGTGCTTTTTGACATGTGCTCTGGGTCATTGTCCTGCTGTAAGACCCATGACCTCTGACAGAGACCCAAACTTTCTGACACCGGGCCCCATTGGACCCAGAATTTTTTTGGTAGTCTTCAGATTTCATAATACACCATGCACACGGCCAAGACAATCCAGTGCCAGAAGCAGCAAAGCAACCCCAAACATCAGTGACCCTCCACCATGTTTAAACTATAGGGACTGTATTCTTTTCTTTAAAGGCCTTCTTTCTTTTTCTGAAAACTGTAGAATGATGGGCTTTACCAAAAAACTGTAATTTTGTTTCGTCTGTCCACAGCACATTCTTCCAAAAGGATTTTGGCTTCCTCAGGTAAGTTTTGGCAAACTCAAATTTGGCTTTTTTATGTTTCTGTGTCAGCAGTGGGGTCCTCCTGGGTCTCCTACCATGGCATTCCTTTTCATTCAGATGGCGACGTATAGTGCGAGCCAACACAGTTATACCCTGTGCCTGAAGGTCGGCTTGAATTTGGAAGTTGATCGAGGTCCAGATCTCTGGAGATGGCCTTGTAACCTTGAGATTGTCCACGCTTTTCCAAAATTTTTGTTCTCAAATCCTGACAATTCTTTGCTGCTCTCGCATCTCCATTATCCATGTGGCACACAGAGACACATAACAGAAAGGTGGAGTCAATTTTTCACCATTTTAACTGGTTGCCGGTGTGACTTCTATATTGTCAGCACCAGTTAATTGATACAGGTGAGTTTAATTACAGCAGCACAAACCTGGAATGCAATTTTTTTTTTTTACAATTTGGAGAAGGTGCCATTCATTTTGTCCAGTCCATTTTTGGGGTTTTGCATGGAATGTGTCAGATTTGACTTTTTGTTTCTCCCCTTCTTTTCATACCAGTACAAACAAAAGAAATAAACGTGAGAATGCCGAAACATTTGTAATTGCAACAATTTTCTGGGTGAAGCGGTGCATTATCTGACAGAAATGCAGGGGGGGGGGGGGGGGGGGGGGGTGGCAATGTTTTTTGCCGTGACTGTATATCCCATATAGTTTGTCACAATCCCAAGTTGCATTTTGCGTAAAAAAAAAAAAAAGGCAAATACAAAAAAAAACCAAATAGCTAAAATATTGGTATCCTTGATGCGATTTTGCTGGATTTAGTCACAAGATTCTCAAGTAAGCATTCGGATTTTAGTTCCATAAACACAAATCATGAGTAAACCAAGGCTGCTGCATATTGACTGTTAATGGAAAAATAATTTCTTCCTACAAAGCAGTTGGATCGAGTCCCTTGATAAAAAAAACATTGTACTATCCTTATTAAAGTAGATGTAAACCCAATCACTGAAATCCCATATAAGATTTAACACGTTTATATCATTTTCCGTGTTTTTTTTTTTTTTTTTCTTAAATTTGCCACTTTCAATAAAATCTACTGGTCCTGCCATGCCAATCCTTCCTTTTTTTTTTTTTTTTTTTTTAATAATGCACTTCCCAATTGTGCTCTGGATTTGTCACCCTGTCCCACAGGGTTCTTATGGGGACTACAAGCAGCTGTCCCAACATGGTTTAATACAGGCATGATCCACTATTGTCACCATCAGGAAACCCAGGCTGAGAAATGCCATTCAGCGTTCACTGAAGTACATGAAGTATGTAGACAGGAATGGCTGAAGGGTATTATTTAATACTGAAATGCAGCACAGGATGAAAAAAAAAAAAAGTGTAAATAAATAAAAATGGCAGTTTGACAGTGTTTTAGCAAACCAAATGTAAAGGTTTACATTTTTTTTTTTTTTTTTTTTTTTTAATTTGCCACTTTCAATAAAATCTACTGATCATGCCATGCCGATCTTCTTCTTTTTTTTTTTTTTTTTTATATGCACGTCCCAATTGTGCTCTGGATTTGTCACCCTGTCACACAGGGTTCTTATGGGGGCTGCAAGCAGCTATCCCAGCGAAACCCAGCCACAGAAATGCCATTCAGCCGTCACTGAAGTACATGAAGTACATGAAGTATGTAGCCAGGAATTGGCTGAAGGGTATTATTAATACTGAAATGCAGCAAAGGATGAAAAAAAAAAAAGTGTAAACAAATAAAAATGGCAGTTTGACAGTGCTTTTTTTTAAACCAAATGTAAGGGTTTAAATTTTTTTTTTTTTTTAAAATTATTTATTATTATACAGGATTTTATATGGCACCAACAGTTTGCTCAGCGCTTTACAATATAAAGGAAGACAATACAGCAACAATACAGTTCAATATAAGAGGGTTAGGAGGGCCCTGATCCTGGGAGCTTACAATCTAATTTTGGATAACATTTGGCTGGAAGAAAATCAATAAAATCCTTTTAAGATTCTGCTTTTGATTTTGTCATCACCTACCTATGTAGTAGGTTATTCCATAGCTTACTGTACCATAACGAACAAAAGGAAAGAGTAAAAATGTTGTCCTGGCCTTTTGTGATTAAAAAGATCCCTCCACCAAATGATTGTATTGATCTAGTATATATTGATTAGGCGCCCTCTAAATCCTCCTTTTGTAGTAAGTGCCCATGTGACATAAGCATTTGTCTGATTTGCCGCATTTAAATTATGTTGTACAACTTCACTACTGTTTTTTCAATACCTTTTTTCTTTTGCTGTGTATTGTCTTTTGTTTCAGTTTATCTCTGTTTTCATTCATTCTTATTGGCCAAGTCACCTAACTTTGTTTTGCAGTCAGAACTCCCTTATTTTTACTGATGGTGAAGCCTTACCAGTAAATGCAAGAAGGCATTTTAAGCCCAAACCGCATGAGTGACTGTAGATCACATTTATGGTTTTGGAAGTGAATCGATTCCCACGATAAATTGCTCTGGCCTGGTCCCTAGTATGGTTCGCTGTGATCTCTAGACAATTGCGTGTTGCTGTGATCATCCAAAAACGTGCAATGCTGCACTTGTGAAGGGTGAATATGAGGGAATGGCGACCATACACAGTTGCTTACTGAACACTGTTAAAGGGTAACTCCTATTTTGTGGGGGGGGGGGGGGGAAATAGCAAAAAAAAAAAAAACGTATAATTGCGACACAAGTCATATTGTAATTGAATGTTATTAAAAATGACCTTCCCTTTTCCATCTGCAGTGCTATAAATATTCTGTAAAATGCAATGCAATATAGCTACCTGGAGGTGTTTCTTGCACAGTTTGTGTAAAAGAGTGACCCCCCCCCCCCCCCCCCCCCAACCAAAACATACTTTCCTGCATTGGCTTACTGATTTTACCAGAAGTACATACTGATACAAGTCAGGTTTTGGGCATTTCCTGCAAGTCAGGTTTTGGGCATCTCCTGTAACAAATGTCATTTTTGGTGAGATGCTCTTAAAAAGAAATCAGCTAAAGCGGGGGTGTGTCAAACTCCATTTCATGGCGGGCTGTATCAGCATTATGGTTGCCCTCAAAGGGTGGATTGTATCTATAAAACTAGATGTCCAGAGTACCCCACCCCCCTTTACATCAGATGTCAACAATCCTACACCCTCCCTATTATCACCGGGCAGAGCTGGAAAGCATAAAGTGCAGGGTGTGGAGGAAGAGTAAAGGGGGTACCTGCAGGAGAGGTGCAAGGACCACATGAAATGGTCTGGAGGGCTGGATTCGGCCCATGGGGCCTTGTTTGACACCTTTTGATTTATTTATTTCAGGTACTTATATAGCGTTGTCAATTTACACAGCACTTTACATATATGTACATTGTACATTCAAGGGGGGTACAATCAGGTCCCTAACCCTCAAGGGGGGTACAATCTAAGGTCCCTAACCCTCAAGGGGCGTACAATCTAAGGTCCCTAAGGGGCGTACAATCTAAGGTCCCTAACCCTCAAGGGGCGTTACAATCTAAGGTCCCTAACCCTCAAGGGGCGTACAATCTAAGGTCCCTAACCCCTCAAGGGGCGTACAATCTAAGGTCCCTCAAGGGGCGTACAATCTAAGGTCCCTAACCCTCAAGGGGCGTACAATCTAAGGTCCCTAACCCTCAAGGGGCGTACAATCTAAGGTCCCTAACCCTCAAGGGGCGTACAATCTAAGGTCCCTAACCCTCAAGGGGCGTACAATCTAAGGTCCCTAACCCTCAAGGGGCGTACAATCTAAGGTCCCTAACCTAAGGGGCGTACAATCTAAGGTCCCTAACCCTCAAGGGGCGTACAATCTAAGGTCCCTAACCCTCAAGGGGCGTACAGTCTAAGGTCCCTAACCCTCAAGGGGCGTACAGTCTAAGGTCCCTAACCCTCAAGGGGGTACAGTCTAAGGTCCCTAACTCACATTCATACATACACATACTAGGGCCAATTTAGACAGGAACCAATTAACCTTCCAGCATGTCTTTGGAGTGTGGGAGGAAACCGGAGTACCCGGAGGAAACCCACGCAGCCACAGGGAGAACATGCAAACTCCAGGCAGGTGGTGCCATAGTTGGGATTTGAACCAACGACCTGAGTACTGCCAGGATCCAAAGGGATGCAGACCCTGCCACTCTCAGAGCTCTGCAGCCAATTTTTATAATTATAAAATCACTTCCATACAGATTCACTTTGCACACAGACACAGACAAACTGCTATTTCTTCAGAATATCAAAAGGTAGAAATCTGCAACAGCAAAATGTGTTTAAATCCCTGCAATGTACATAGATCACCCAGAGGGGAGTGTGTTTTTTTTTTTTGTTTTTGTTTTCCCCTCAACAAAAGTGGAGTTACTCTTTAAGTGGGGATTGGGTTGGAGGAATGAAACATGAAAATTGGAGATTGATTTCTGATTTCAGGGTCCTTTTATGCAGTTTGGGCTTTATTATGGCCAAAGACCTCCAAGAGTTGTTAGTGGCTGAGTTTCCGTTGTTGATTTCAGATTCCTGAAGCACTCATCAGGCCCTGGACACTCCACCCCGCCCCTCATCTGAATCGAATCAACCTCTCCCCCGAGGGGTCGCAGGACTCTGGTATTTCAGAAGATTTGTTGGTCAGTTTCCCAAGGGCAGTCTAGTGGTATTTATATTTCTCAAATTATTAAAGCGGGTTTCCACCTGAAATGAAACGTCTCCACAGTAGAGCAATCCTAATCTTCTTTTGTTTAAGTTACCTGTGGAGACTTGGTGGGAAGCTGCATGTTGAGATAAAACTAGATAAATCATTTTTATTTTGTCTTCTTGACTATACATGCATGGTGGTGTCACTGGACAAGTTCCAGGAGCTGCCACATCTTATTTGTAGGAGCCATTCATTATTATTATTATTATACAGGATTTATATAGCGCCAACAGTTTGCTCAGCGCTGTACAATATAAATTTCATGTAACGTTTGTTTTACACACTTGATCTCCAAGTGGAGTAGTCAGGTGACCATATTGTGTGTTTTTAATGAGTGTAAGCATTCATCTCTATGGCAGATGTATTTTTCTCAAAATGCTGATTGCTGGACCTTTAAAAAAAAAAAAAAAAAAAAAAAAAAAACACTGGATGAAAATGCAGGGGGGATATGACAAGTGCCACTAAAAATCAGTGGTGCACCGAAACGAAAATTCTGGTGCCGAAACCGATAATTCAAAATGCACTTTAAAAATCAATATATATTTTTTGGAAAAAAAATGCACTTTGATTAAAAAAAAAACAAAAAAAAAAAAAAATATATAGCGCAATTTTTTCATGTTACGGTGAGTAAATAGATACCCAACATGCCACGCTTTAAAATTGCGCACGCTCGTGGAATGGCATAATACTGCGATACTTAAAAATCTCCATGGGTGATGATTTAAAAATTTCTACAGGTTAGCAGTGTAAAGTTACAGAGGAGGTCTAGTGTGAGAATTATTGCTCTTGCTCCGACGTTCATGACGATACCTCACCTGTGTGGTTTGAGCACAATTTACATATGTGGGCGTGGCCTACGTATGCGATTCACCACTTCGTACGAGGGAACGGGGGCACTTTAAACTTTTTGGGGCTTTTTTTCGTATTTTGTTGTTTTTTTGCACTGTCCCTTTAAAAAAAATTGTAATCACTTTTATTCTTATCACAAGAAATGCATGCATCCCCTGTGATAGAAATAATTAGTGACAGGTCCTCTTTATGGAGAGATATGGGGTCAATAAAACCCCACATATCTCCTCTGCCATGTAAAGCATTGGATCAAAAAAAAAAAAAAGCATTGATCTAGTGCTTTAAAATGAAAAAATGAACAGGAAGTGACATCACTTCAGTCCTCCAAGGGCATAGAGATTAGTGGCAGCCATATTTCCTTCACTAATCTCTATGGCCAGAGCCGGGATCGCTGGTTTGTTAGGTAAGGCTGAGAACTACCGAGCGGCGGCGACGGGCGGTTTTTTTTTTTCCGGCACCTGTATCGGTGCTTATTTTCAATTCAGCCAACGGCCGAAAGGGGTGTTTTTGGCCAAAATGTTTCGGCCACTGAAATTTCAGTGCATCCCTACTAAAAATAAAATCCTTGGAAGGAAAGGCGTGCCACACCAAAAGTACAAAGTTTAATAAAGTGCTCCTAAACCCAAAAGCAAACATTTATTGTACCAATTCTTCGATGTGATGGCTGCATTTATTTTTTATTTCTTTAGGCTTTCTTTCCTTTTATTTTCACCTGGTGATTCGGCCAGCTGCAGCTATCCTGCAGATGTAGCAGTTACCCCCGGTTCACATCTATCCGCGTTTTGCTCGGGGCACTAGAACCTATTCATTTGAATGGACTCCTGTGCCCCGTGACACGCAGGGAAGAAGTCCCTGCACTTCTGAAAACGCAGCACACACGGAAGCCTCGGTTCCCAGTGCGGGCGCATGCCATTAGAATTAATGGCACCCGCCCGCGGGTCTGCATTTGTTTGTGCAGGTGGTGCGGCCGCACAGATTTTCGTGCGGATCTGCAGCGGCACCACCCGCACAGATGTGAACCGGGGGTTAGTGATGAGACAAACCATTGACAGGGGTGCTTACAATGAACAGCTTTTATTTATATAAAACCTTTATCCCAAAAAGGTTACCGCTTGACCGCTCTGGAAGCTGTCTATTCCTGGCTGCGGTGGGGAGCAGTGCGGTGCTCAATTCAACACCTCACATGGCTTTTTTTTTTTTTTGTACACAAAACATACACTTCATTCAGGACCGTGTACTGTACAGTGCTATGCGATTCGGCATGGTGTGCTCCGAATGCATCATCTCTCCATTTTATTGTAGAATGCTGCTGTGCAGCCACAGGCTGTGTGAAAGGGACACATAGGAAACAATGGTTGCGGTAATGCAGTGTGGTAAAACGTCTGTCACCGCACACATTGTGAATTGGCCCTTAGCTGGAATTTGGCTTCCATTTGTTAGTGTATCTAAATCTGCTAGTCCATCGAACAATCCCTCCCCCAGATTGACAGTGCTGCTGTCCAAAGGTGGTGCTTTGCTCTTCCATCCAGAGTGGAGGCAATCTTAATATGGGAGGTGTGTTACTGGCCAGATCACCAGGTAAAAACAGAGGGGAAAAAAGCCTAAGAAAAAAAAAAACTAATGCAGCTGCCACATGTAATGACTAGTATTATTATTATACAGGATTGATATATAATATTTATTATACAGGATTTATATATATTATTATTATACAGGATTTATATATATTATTATTATACAGGATTTATATATATTATTATTATTATTATACAGGATTGATATATAATATTATTATTATTATACAGGATTTATATATATATATTATTATTATACAGGATTTATATGGCGCCAACAGTTTGCTCAGCACTTTACAATATAAAAGGGAGACAATACAGCAACAATACAGTTCATTACAAGAGGGATAGGAGGGCCCTGATCCTGGGAGCTTACAATCTAAGAGGGAGTTGAGTTGTATACTAGTAAGCTGCAATATATAAAAGTTTTGGTTTTGGGTTTAATACTGTTTTAAGCACTTTATTTCCTCATACAATCAGAAAGACAAGCCAAAGCATTTCAGTGGCACCTTGGGTCTCCCTTCATCAGGGCCTAAATGGCGTCATTATATTCAGGGGCGAACGGACTCAATTAGGCTGTCTAAACCAAATGTGAGAACCATTGAAAAGCAGAACTACATCTGAGCACCACAAAGCAACAATGCTGTTCATTTTTAATATTCAAAGCAAACTCACTCATCCATCCATGTCTCCATGCTTTGTTTTGCTGAGAAATCACTTTGAAAAACACCCCTCTAGCATTTCTGGCAGTGGCCGTCTTGAGTAAGGGCAGATGATTCATGTAGCATTTACTTTCTGGAATCCATCTGCCCTTAGGTCAGGCATGCAAGCAGGAGGATGTGCTTAGCTGAGAACCCTCCCCCCCCCTCCAGAAGACTTATGGAATGTATGACATCATTTCCCTAGGCAAGAAATCATGAAGTCACTGAAGAAACAAAAAAATAATAGTTTAATACAAGTGAATATGATCTACTTCCCGATCTATTGGCTAAAGTTAGCAGCATAAGGATTACAAATAGTCCATGTTGATTGGGAGATGGAAGTTCTACTTTAATAAATGAAACCTTCCCCTTCAAATATTGGATGTTTTCCCCCATTTGTGTCCAACAATCCTCTGTCTGAACAAGCTGTTGAAGCTCTGATGAAGGGGGGGGACCCCTTTGATGTCCTCCCAGCACGTTGACTCGTCCTTGTGACTTATTGGGAAAAGATTAAGGGTTGGTTCACACTAAAGAAATACAGTCCTGATGTTTTTCGGATGCGTTTTTCATGCGCGTTTTTGGGCGCATTCTGCTGTATTTTTTATGTGTTGTTGATGCGTTCCAGTTCATTTTTTTCCCCTCTTCAATTTAATTAGGGACGTGCATTTTTGGTGTGTTCCAGTGCGTTTTTGATGCCTTTTACCCCGTTTTAGTACAGTTCTGTGCAGAAAAAATGCAGCCTGTTCTACATTTTTTTTTTTTTCTGCAACTGGAATGCACCGGGACTGCAAGCACTGATGTGAACTATGACACAACCATATCACCTACTTTCTGTCTGTTTTGGATGCAGAAAAAACAACTGAAACGCATGTAGTGTGAACTGGCCCTGAGCCCCGGTTCACATATATGCGGCCGCGCGGGCCGCGTTTTGCGCAGGCACCAGAGCCCATTCATTTGAATGGACTCCCGTGACACGCAGGAAAGAAGTCCTTGCACTTCTTTGGAAACTGCAGCCCGCACGGGAACCTCCGTTCCCAGTACGGTTGCGTTTTCCGGTGCGGGCGGCGTGCCATTAGAAGTAATGGCACCCGCCTGCAGGTCAACATTCCTTTGTGCGGGTGGTGCAGCTGCACGGACTTTTGTGCGGATCCGCAGCGGCATCACTCGCACAGATGTGAACCTAGCCTAAGTGTTTAATGGACACCCAATGTACATTTGGTGTGGTGCTCCTCCTTCCATTTTTTTTTTTTTTCTTTTAAATATCCCTTCATCTACACCACCGTAGGTTCAACCAACTATGCACCTCCAATATCTGAAATCCAACGCCTCTCACCCATCCCTTTTTTTTTTTTTTTTTTTTTTTTTTTTTTTTTTTTATTTTAGAATAATTCTGAAAGTAATGACACAGATCTAATTTTGTACAATTTTTAGAGACCTTTAACTGCACCTAACATGCACGAGCTTGAAGAGGCCTGCAGGAATGGCATCTCAGCTTTTACTTTTTATAATAGAGAAGTAGATAGAAATCGGACGACTTCTACTCGGGCATTGATTATAATGTGACCGTATTTGTCCCATTACATCAGATTATTGCTGACTACTTATGTAAAAAGAAATAAAGCGCTCCCAAAACCACCACAGCCAGACAGGCTGGAGCTGATCTCCAAATGCAATACTATCATGAAAATGCAGCCACGCGCTGAGGATTATTTACTGAAACCGGAGCGTACAGAATGTGGTGCAGCTCTGCATAGAAACCAATCGGCTTCCAGGTTTTATTGCCAAACCTTAATTGAACAAGCTGAAGT